CTGGAGGTGTCCAGGAGTAGAAAAGCAAGTACGGCATAGAAGTAAAGACGATGCAGTGTCGGGGTTAAGAAACACAAGCCAGACAGCAGGGGTTAAAGTTCTCCTTTGCCCCATAGTAGCCATGGAACCTTATGGGCTCTGTGACTTTGACCTCTGTGCCTCAGTTTCCCATCTCTGCAAAGGAGATAATCATAGCTCCTATCTCAAAGGACTTTATGAGGTTCAAGTGAGTCAGGATCTACAGAGCCTGGCATGTGGAAGGTGTCAGTAAATGGTGACCATTAGCATTATTTTGTTTATATGTGGTTGGGACCCTCTGGTGGGAAGGAACAGAGAGCCAGTCTGCTTTTTCCTGGGAATGAGGGAGCATTGCAAGGCCACACATGGGAATAAGGACATTAAGAGTTCAATGGCTTCCTAAATGATGTTGAGGATCTCCCCCAGGGTGTCTGGGTTTGCAGGCATTCCCAATGCCACCTGTGCATATCACTGATGCCCCATAGCTTGCTGTCTGATAATACTGATGTCACTGACTCTGGTGTGCCAGATATAAAAATTAGTCACGTGGCTTTTAATGTAATTTGTGATGTATTAAAGATACTGCTGTCGCTGCAGTCATTTGCAGTGGCAGCCCCACAGTGGAACTTAAGCTGCTGGGCTCCAAGTTGAAGCTTCCAAACCAGGCTGTATATCACAGGAATTATTAGCCTTTGCACATTACTTCCTGCATCAACCTTCTAAATCACCATGGCTGGGTAGCAGGGTACTCATTAATTGGCTCAAATGGTCCTTCTTGTAGCTGATCCATGAAGTAATGTCAAAGAAGCACAGAGTTTGTTATGATCTTCTAGTTGTAAGTAATAGAGAAACCAGTTTGAAGGAGTTAAAACAATAAAGGCAATTAATCGGTTCACATAATGAAAACCGCATGGAATTGGCTGATGCAGTGGCTCAGTGTTGGAAAAGGCCTATTTTCTTTCTGCCTTGTAGCTTTGCCACCTGCAGTGTCCTCTTCATCTAAGGCAGACTCTCATCGTGGCTATAGGATGGCTGACACTCAGCTGCATCCAGGCCTGAGCTTCCTTCCACAACTAGCAGGAGACAGACAGCTTCTGTCCTAGCAAATTAGGCAAGAATTTGAAACCCACCCTGATTTAATGCACTTACATCATATGCTGAACCCTTGAACCAATGGATTGCAACAGTCAATAAAGGGGCCATCCCTGGCATTGGAATTGGATCAGCCACCCCTGAAGTTCAGGGTCTGCGTGGAGGAGCTAATATATGGATAACCTGAGAAAGGAAGTGGAAGGAATGGATGCTGATAGGCAGCAACAAATATCCTTGATTGGGATGATGTAGTTAGGAAATAGTAGAGGGATATGCATGTTGAGGTTCTATGATCTTAGATATGTGTTCCCAAAGAGTGAGAGCTGTAATGTGGAATATGTTATGGAGGACTTCCATCCCACCCATGGGACAGTCACAGGAATCCAGGAATACCTGGCTCTCATGGAGACTGGTACCTGAAAGATACAGCACAGCTCTGGGGACAGAGTTTATTAACCCTTTCAGCAGCAAGAATCCATCAACACACCACCTACTACCAGCATTAGGTTCACTCAGTAACTCTCCTCTCTGCTTCTAATCCTCGTATTAAGGCCAACACATTACCTTATTCTTTTTTATTGTCTATATGTTTTTTCGTATATTATGCTGTCTTGTAACTTATAAACCATAATTTCAGCTTCCTCATGATACCTGTTTCCTCATGGCCTCTGCATGTGTATCTTATAAGATTCTACACTACCTACCAACCTCTCAATGCTGTCAGTTTGAGGGAGCTACATGGTGAGACAAATCTTGTAGCTAGGCTTTGAAAACTGGATAAAATCTAGAGACAAAGAAGAAAGTTGTATCATTTCTTAGATAGAAAAAAAACATACATTTAGATATTTCTGGGCCAGAAGGAAGACCAATTCGCCAGTGCAGGAGAACATGTTAGAGATGAACAAGAGAGAAATATATTAATAGCTGGGAAAGTAGAGTGTCATTGATTATAGAAGCTTTGGAAATAAGGATCTCTTGAAATATTTTAAGTAAAGCACTCATCTGACCTTTCTTTCATTTCTACAGCCAAGTCAGCTTTGTCTTATCTTCTTTTACCCAACATCCAGTTATTCCTTGTCCCTAATCTCTCTCTGCTCATTTTATCATGCCTATGCTGGGTAAACCCTACTGGGCTAGAAGTTCAAATTAAGGGGCAGCACTGACCTATGAGACACGCCGTGTACCACTGTCCTGCTGAGAAGTTACACCAGCAGTGCTCAACCCCATCAGACTCAAGGGCCCAATTTTATGAGAAATATTTCTGTAATTCTCCCTTTGCTGTCTTGAAATAAAATTCATATGAAATTTGATGTAGCTACATACCTAATTGTTATTGAATTGTGTCCTCCCAGAAATTCTATGTAGAAGTCCTAATCCCCAGTACCTCAGAATGTGACCATATTTGGAGATAGGGCCTTTACAGAGGTATTAAGGTAAAATTATGTCATTAAGGTGGGCCCTAATCCAATGATTGCTGTTTTCATAAGAAGAGATTTGGATACAAATGGTGCAGTGAGAGAGTGATGTGAAGACATACGGAAAAGATATTGATCTCTAAGTTAAAGAGACAGGCCTGAACAGATCCTTTCCTCACAACCCTCAGAAGAAACCAACCCTGATGACATCTTGATCTCAGACTTCTAATTTCCAGAACTGTGAGAAAATACATCTCTGTTGTTTAAGCCACCTTATTTGTGGTACTTTATTGTGATGATCTTAGCAAACTAATTCACTAATTATAGGATATTATTACAATGCCTTTGTTATAAGATAAAGAATACATAAATGGAGTGTAATTTACAATAAAATGTTTACAGTATTTTCATATATAAATGCTTGAGCACAACTATACCAAAAGACATAATATTTACATCAATACTATGCATGCAACAGCTAGAAGTCACCGTGGAGTGCCCATATGAATGCAGCCCGACACTGTGTATGGTACTGGCAACACAAAACCTTAAACAACATTACCATTGGCACATGATTTTCCAAACACAGAGAACAAGTCTTGGTAAAGTTCCAAACAAAACAAAGAGTAATCTTCCCTCAATTTACATGGTAGTTGCATTCCTGGAAAATTGAAGAAATACATTGTATTTATTTGTAACCCAAGGAGAGAGTCTAGGCACAGGTAATTATAAATAGGTTTTTCATCTGCACAAAGGTCCTTTGAAAGTCACAGACAGTTCTTCATTTTCCTGTACATGTTGCAGGAGGTCAGGATGCCTAGCATCCCTGGTCTACTTCCCTCGATGCCAGGATGTGCTCTGTCATGATGGCAACCAAAATTTTCTCTTTATCCCCAAAATTCATCCTAAAGGGGAGTAATAGCTTTGTTGAGAATCACAGAGATGCAAGAGGAGGTGAAAGCAAAAGAGTAATTTATGGCTAACTTTTGTTGTTGGACCAGGCCACTTCACTCCTTGTGAGAACTCTTTCTGCCTGGACACAGAGAGCTGGGGACTCAGCCACCGGAGACCACACAGCAGCCAGGATACTGCCCTTAAGCTTCCTGTGTTAAAGGCTCCCTTGTTGGCTTGAACTTTAGAGCCCTCAAGGTACTCCAAACTTGGTAGGATCTGACAGCTGTGGGCATGCCATCCTCTCTGTGTGTTTTTGTGTGTTTTGCACGTATTTGAGGTTTGGAGCGGGCTGAGGTGCTGCTGTGATCGCTGTGACAGCCCTAGAGAAACATCCTGACAAATCCCACTATTCATTGTCTTCCTCCTGTTCCTGAACTATTAAACATTCATTGCTGGAGAGGTTTTACCGGAAAGCTGTGATCTCTAACTAAACCTGGGCCCTCAGCGATGCACCTGAGCCTTTTGTCTTCCTCTGCCTTCTACCCAGGCATGTTCTCTGCCGTGTTCACTCTCAATCTTTTCTACCCTCTCGGAGAACCTGAATTCTACCTTGTATCATGTTCCACAGAAGACTTTTGTGTCTTTCATTGAGACAACCGATATCGTCCAGAACTCCCCTCCTTTTTGTCTCCGAATTTCTTTTCCTCTCGTACAATAGGCAGAAAAGTCTCCTTGTGCTGCCCATTTCTCCCCCTTCCAAGGGAACTTGCTCCATTGATTAAAGAACATCAGTTTTCCCCTTTCCACTTCCTCCTCCCCTTCACCTTTGCCTGAAGATGTCCTGTCTGAGTGAGAACCTTCAAGTACTAGAATCCTACTTGAATGCACTTTAACCAGAAAAAGGAGATTTCGCTCTAAGGAAACACAGGTGTTTCAAGAAACCCAAGGGTAGGAGTGCCATGGGCCTCGAGAGAGGATTTGAACAAGAATTGCAAAGTCATCAGCACTCTTTCTGCCCTTCTTTTTCACTCATCTCTGTTTGCTTCATTTTTCTTTTTCCTTTATGCTATCTTCTTGTGGCTTCCCATCCACATGGTAGAATTCCAATTCCAGGATAGAGACCCAAAGTGACCTAGCTTGAATCAGGTCCAGTCTCTTGGCCAAGTTCATGTCATAACAGGGACCACACTTACCCTCCTGCCTGAAACAACTAATAAAAACAAAATATATGATATAATGGGTTTTGGGTATGGATATCGGGTAGTGCAGGTCAAGGATCCCTGATAGAGAGAAAACAGTTGAGGTGAGCCTTATAATGGCCCAGCTCACTGTCTGGAAAGAGCTTCCAGGGCACAGTACACAGAGGGGAAAGCCAGGTAGAGCTCTGTGGTCTCCTTTAGTTGAGAAGCAGCTGGGAGTCCAGGGAAGCCATGGTGGCTAGAGGAAGCAGGACAAAATACCAGAGAGACGAGAGCTAGAGAGAGAAAGCGAGAGAGGGTACAAGGAGAGAATACTTTCGATATCACCAGAGTCTTCAGCTGAGTACTGATCACTGCATGCTTTGGAGGAAACTACTTGAGGCCAGGAAAAGAATCACCTGAAAGGAGCAGAGAGAAAAATCCATGGAGCTCTCGCAGGCTGAGAATAGTTCATATTCCCACCAGTCAGAATGGTAAGCTTTGTAATCCACAAGGTATTGAGTAGTCAGAAGGCTATTGCCTCAGTACAGTGGAAAAAAAAATTAATCCTAAAGCCAGCTCTAGTCCTGCTTAACAAAGCTTAAAAGCAAACGTGAAAGAATCGAAGTGTTTCCATTGCATCCCAGCACAAAGCTCAAGAATATTTATAGAAATACAAAAAAATCCAGTACCCAAGAGGGTAAAATTCATGCTGTCTGGTATTCAAACAAGCCCCCGCCCAAGGGATGAAAGTAGAAATGAAGAGGCAGGATCAATGCTCCATCTACCTTGGAAATTCTGGACTGTTATAATCTCCCCCTTTCCCATCTTAAGACTACTATTATTTTCTCCATATACCTAAGCACTGTTTGACTTATTACAACAAGCATGCATTACTATTGTTATTTTTAAAAGACTGTGAAAAAACCAATCAGGAGAATAAGGCTACCAAGAAAAAGAAGACAAGAAGTTTCTGTGCCATGCCAAAACTGACTGACTGCCCTTCTCCCCATTTCCTCTGGCTCCCTCTCTAGATAAAAGTTCTCACTTTTACTCTCATCACTTGCCTTTCCTTCTCCTTCCAGGTTCTTTAGCTTAACACAGAATGCAAGTACAACGTGGCTAGTTTTTGGCGGAATTTTGTTTCTTGGTTTTGATTTTAAAATCGGCAGATTTTAGTGTTTCACGTGTACTTCTCAAAAAAAGAAAATAACATCCTCTCATAGCAATTCAGCTGCCTTCTATTTGCCCCACCACCTCACTCCTTGGGGCAGTGGCTGGTGGCCCATAAGGGCTCCACCAGCCCTGCTCTGTTTGCCCAGAATCCACGCGCCCTGTCCCTGGGCAAACAGAACCGCAACTTCTTTTGCACCTGCCCAGGTGCAAACGCGTCCTACATCTCTTTTCCCTCGCGTGAAAGCTCTTTCTGCCATGGGTGGCGACGGCCAGGTCTCCAGGCTGATGAAGTAGGGCAAGTAGAGGGGAGTCAGCTGAGCGCGAAGCAAGCAGACGAAAGGAGCGGGCGAAGAGGTAGCCGGCCTAGACGGGCAGATAAAAGGACCACTCAGTAGCGAGAGGGAGAGGCGAGAGTAACGCGCCCAGACACCATGTGGACAGGGGGAGGAGAGCGAGCAGAGGGGGCGCGCGAAGGCTGAGCGCCCAGGCAGCCAGACCCCAGATCGGAAGAGCGGCGCTCAGGTCCGGGGTCTCGTGTGCGGGCGGGGTGGTCCGAGGGCAGATCGGGGCCCCAGTGCCCCTGCCGCCAGCCGCCCGCGATGAGCGAGGCCAGCCGGCTGTGCTCGGGCTACTACAGCCTCAACCACAGCTTCGTGGAGCCCTTCCAGTGCCCCCGGCGCGGCGAGGGGGCCGCGCTCCTCTACTGCTGCGGCTTCGCCGACCTCAAGTACTGCTGCAGCGAGCCGGGCAGCTACTTCCCCTACAAGCACAGCTACATGTGGAGCCTCAGGTGGGCAGGGAGCCCGCGCGTGCGGCTGCTGGCCGGGGCTGGGGAGGGGACGAGAGGTGCCACGCCGGGGGCAGGGAGGTCGCCTGAGTCCCTGCGACCCGCCCTGGTCGGGTCCCTCCGGGAAGACGCGGAGCCTCCGAGGCGTGTGGAGGCTGGGGAGAGAAATCTCGCCTCGGCTGGGGGAGCCGGGACCCCCAGCCGAGGGCGCGCGCGGGAGCGCAGGCTTTGCGCCCAGGGCGCACCCTGGCCCGCCCTGCTGGCCCCGCTCACTTTCCCGCCCGCTGGCCGGAGCCGACTGCTCTCTTCTCCCGCCGGTGACCAGCCCAGGCTGGCAGCTCTGCAGGCAGAAAAAGAAGACAGGCAGATAACCTAAGGAGAAGGTTTTAATTCCTCTTTGGGGTTTGTGTGGTCATGTGGTGTATTCAAATAGAATCGAGCTCCTTTGGGACTCATTCTAAGGCATTAAGGACCAGAGTATTTAAGTCTCCTTGGGGTGTATGAAAGAATTGGCTGTATTCTTTAAACTATCAAAAAGGTAGGGGTGTGTGGTGTTGGTTCGTGAGGGCGTGTGCAAGTGACTGGGCTTTATCACTTGCCCTTTTCAGATGATCTCACAGTGAACCTGAATGGAATTGAAGAGACATACACAGAGGTAGAGTTTTTAGTTGCTATGATTACACATTAGAACTGTTCTAAGACATCCCCTTTCCCAACACCTGAGCCATTTTGCTATTGGGGGAAAGTGAAGTGACTTTCTAAGGTAGAGTCTTGTTTCTTTTCCTATGATGAGAATTTTACTTGTTCCTACTAGTATTTACACAGCCATTTTCATTATGAAGTGCTGTTTTCCCCTTGCACTCTAACGACTGTAAGCCTTAAACTTGATTATGTGAACTAAAATAAAATCCTAAGCCCCCCAGCCCGCTGAATGGACATCCTCTTGGCAACCTCCCCATCACCCCCCCCCAAAAAAAAACCCCTTAAAGCTGAGTTGCTGTCAGGAGAAGGGAGGTCAGACATGCCTGGTTATGCCCCATCCCTTTGGAGTTATGCTTTGTAACAAGAAGATACTAAATAATTAACAGGCCTAAGGCCCTGCAAGACAAAGCTTAAACCATACTTGCCATGAATTTACTTAACAGATCACTTGAGTTTTGGTCAGGTGACTTGTCTCTGATGAACAGATATCTTTTATCTTAAAATATTCAAACCCTTTAGACACAACTCATTGCTTTAACTAATTACCAATCAAAGAATCTTTGAAACCACCTATAACCTGTAAGCCCTGGCTTCGAGATGTCCTGCCTTTTTGGACCAAACCAATGTACACCTTTCATGTATTGATTTGTAATTTTCACCTGCAATTCCTGTCTCTCTGACATGTATAAAACTACACTACAACCCAACCACAGCATGACCACTTGCTCCAGGCTCCAGGCTTCTTGGGCATGGCTCTCCTGGCCATGGTAACACATACTGGGCTCAGAGTAAACCTCTTTGAATTATTTTACAGGGTTTAGGTTCTTTTCTGTTGACAATTTTTTTTTTTTTGAGACAGAGTATTATTTCTCCCAGTCTCTTGACATGACCCCAAATTCTGATTTGGCACACATGCTAAGCCTACAGAAAATGACTAAATGTTATTTCTTGAAGCAATAAAATAATTTTTCTATATTGCAAGTATAAAAAAAAATCTCATAAGTGCCTACCTTCCAGTAAGTTCAACTCTCAAAGTTGTATTGTGCTGGAGTGGGGCAAAATGTCAGAAAATAATGATAGTTTATGCTTAGTGTAAGGTATTTGGTGAAGAAATCTTATTGTGCCTGCTTATTATCTGGCCCTTTGGAAAATAACATAGTAATCCATTTCTGAGTTTTTGGAGGCGTAATAATGGCAGAAGCACCTCCAACAGGGACCAGCAATTTCTAACTCAAACACAATTGGAAAATGTGCCTGGGATTCTCAGATCCCTGAATAGGTCCCAAAGTGACAAGGAGCAGAAACTATTAATATAAAACCTCCCAAAGGTTTATGAAGGCACAAAGGAGTGAACAGCTTGCTGAGGTTTTCATTCAGCACTGACAAAGGTTTATGAAGGCACAAAGGAGTGAACAGCTTGCTGAGGTTTTCATTCAGCACTGACAAAATGGACAGTACAACTGAGTTTCTGGGAAATGGAAAAGGTACTTCAGCTGATGGTGTCAGCTGGCAATGTTAAACTTGGGCTTCCCGTAAGTTACTGAACTCTGAAAACACTACGGGGAGATAAATTTATTAGAGCTTCCTTTTCCACCTATTCTTTGCTCTCCACTCTTAATTAAAATAGTCCAACTGTGAAAAATATTCCGGGAGTCACTAGCCCTTGTTTTGAGATTCTGCAGCTGCTGGAGAAAGGCATAACTGTAGCTACCAGAAGGTAAGTGAAGTTGATAAGTAGGAGAATCGCTGCTTTAATATGGCAGTAGCTTTAGGGCTTGAAAAGCAACTGCCATATGGTGCTGCCAGGAGAGGATTGTTCTTCCTTTCCTCTGGCCCACTCCCATCTTATAAATCCTTCAATTCTTAGGATTTCCTTTGGTAACTTTCTCCAGGACCAGAAAATAATGCCCATTGGACAGGGCTATGCATGAGTAACTATTGAATAAGAATTTGTTGGCTGGGCGTGGTGGCTCTCGCCTGTAATACTAGCACTCTGGGAGGCTGAGGCGGGAGGATTGCTCAAGGTCAGGAGTTCGAAACCAGCCTGAGCAAGAGCGAGACCCGTCTCTACTATAAATAGAAACAAATTAATTGGCCAATGAATATATATAGAAAAAATTAGCTGGGCATGGTAGCGAGTGCCTGTAGTCCCAGCTACTCGGGAGGCTGAGGCAGTAGGATCTCTCGAGCCCAGGAGTTTGAGGTTGCTGTGAGCTAGGCTGATGCCATGGTACTCACTGTAACCTGGGCAACAAAGTGAGACTCTGTCTCAAAAAAAAAAGAATTTGTTGAAATGAATATTTTAGGAGTCTCCTAGAACCCCATCTTTACCTAGATTTTTGCATGCATAAAACAATGTTTCCGTAAAGTGGAACTGTGACATTGCAACAGATTGCCAGGATTATGAAGAATATCCTTTTATAACAGAAAGTAGAAATGGCATTTTTTTGTTTGTTTTTCCTTCAAATCATGTGGTCTGTTTTTTAAATTTGTACATTAAAAGCCTACAATATGTATGCTGAATTAATTAAATTGACAATTTCACTTTTAAATTGACTAAATTACTTTTTTACTTTGAAGATTTTTTTAATAACTGGGTTCTCATTTTAGGACTCTTTCCAGATGTCTAGCCTCCTTTCTGGCTTGTGCACAGGAGGCTAGGCATCTGCAAAGAGTTCTAAAATGAAATAATATTAATTAAGTGGATTATACTCCCATGCAACCTGGGTATAGTGAAGTGATCCTAACCTTCCTTGACGCAATCTACAAAAGTTAGCTTTGGTGCAAACAAGCACAAAGGAGGAGTCACCAAACACAGGGAGTCTACCCCTTAGATGAGAGTGAACCAAGTGAGGGCAACCCCCAATTTTAAATATACAACTCTATACTGACTATAGCCATAAAATTACCCAGTCTTCATTTGTCTTCAGGGCTGGGGAACTGGGCTGGCAATAAACTGAACACAAGCGTCTCCGAAGTCTGACTCTGTGTGTGTGGCTCAGGAGGCAGTCTCTTCTTTGCAAGGGTGCATTATCTCCTCAAATCAAGGATAAGTGGGGTAGCCCTTCACTCTTAACTTTGTCTCCTTCCTCCCAAAGCAGTGATGCTCCAAACATCCTTGGTCAAATTCTCCCTTCCCTCCCTTCTGGTACATTTCAAATTTATCAGACTCTTAATCCTTGGGAAAGAGCAGAAGCCTAAAGACAAACCAGGAAGATAATGAAGAAAAAGATCATTACTTTTCAGTGATGTATATTCCAAATACAGGTAGATCAACCAGTGGTCAATTATTGTTTACTTCCATTTATTGAACTTTTTCTACAAGCTAAGCACAGATACTTGTTTTGTTCTGTTTTGAGACAGGGTTTTGCTCTGTTGCCTAGGCTAGAGTGCAATGGAGCAATCATAGCTCACTGCAATTTCAAATTCCTTGGCTCAAGTGATCCTCCTGCCTCAGCCTCCTGAGTAGCTAGGACTATAGGCATGAGACACCACACCCAGATAATTTATTTTTAAAAATTTACTTTTGTGTAGAGATGAGGTCTCACTATGTTGCCCAGGCTGGTCTTGAATTCCTGGCCTCAAGCAATCCTCCTGCCTCAGCCTCCTAAATTGCTATGGTTATGGGCACAAGCTACTGCACCCGGCCTTGAACACTTTCAATAAGTGTGCACAACACTGTTGTGAAAGGCAACAGAAATACCTGCTCTTGAGTAGCTTAAAATCTAATTTTAGATTTTAATTAGGACCATACATATAGTTCAAAAAGTACATGTGTTTGCATGTTAGTCTTTCAGGGTAATGGTTATTTTTTAATTTAATTTAATTTAATTTTGAGACAGAGTCTCACTTTGTTGCCCAGGCTAGAGTGAGTGCCATGGCATCAAGCCTAGCTCACAGCAACCTCAAACTCCTGGGCTCAAGTGATCCTCCTGCCTCAGCCTCCCGAGTAGCTGGGACTACAGGCATGTGCCACCATGCCCGGCTAATTTTTTTATATATATTTTTTTAGTTGGTCAATTAATTTCTTTCTATTTTTAGTAGAGACAGGGTCTCACTCAGGCTGGTTTCGAACTCCTGACCTCGAGCAATCCGCCCACCTTGGCTTCCCAGAGTGCTAGGATTACAGGTGTGAGCCACTGCGCCCGGCCATGTTTTTTTTTAATTTAGTATAATATCATTAAATTCACAAGTTTATGAAAGCTATATTCTCAAATGATTAGCCTTCTATGTAACTGCATCAGGAGGAATTATTACAAATTTAGTACAGAGCAAATACAATCAGATATACATTTTATTTTTAGAGAAAAGTACAAGGTTTCTTCCTTAATGCTAGAAGCCATTTGTGTTATGCCCTTTTGGAAAGGAAAAACTCTGAAAATGAACCTCATGTAAATTTCATAAATACTGTTGTCCTTTAATTGAAACCTTCTCCTCTTTTGTAATAGTCCTGGCTTTATATATCAATAAATGGTGTCTTGGATATATGTCTCCAAAAGAAAAATTTATATTTCTGGTAAACATTTGCTTTACTTCTATTTCAGAAGCAAGTATTTTTCTATTCATCTTTTATTGGTGAACCTGATATTTCCTTCTATATTAATTATATAGGCTTACTTGACTGAGATGTTTTTAAACTAACTCTAGAGAATCATGTGACCTTTTACCTATAATATGAATTCACATGGTCTTCCTTATTATAAATGTATAAATTTAAAAGGACCTCGAAAACCTATAGAGAAAATATAATATGAATTTGATGGCAGAAAAAGGTCAGCTATACATTTCAATCATTTATTGTATATGCTAAAATATAATTTGGTTATAAATGATTGAGAACAACAACGAACAATATTTATACCTTCTCTTTAGTTTAACCAGTACAAGCCAGTTTGCGTGACATAATGTTTTTTTTTGTTTTCCTCAGCATTGGTGCCCTGATTGGATTAGGGATTGCAGCCCTTGTTTTACTTGCCTTTGTCATCAGCGTCTGTGTCCTTTGCTATTTATTTCTATATGCAAAGCCTCAAAGATTAGACACTGGCCTTAAACTTCAACACCTAGATGCTTCTTCCATTCAAGAAGGTAATCAGTATCTCTTATTTATAACCAATTACCTATTCTCTATGCAAAAGAATAATCTGTACCTGGGTAACAGCTCATACTGTTAAAAATGAATGCTGTTTAAAAATTCAGTTTATTGTGTCTTTGTAAAAATTCACATTGAATCAGGCCTTAATGATGAAATACCTTAGGTAGATCATGCTTAAGGAAAAATAGCAGCAGGATGTGAATGTCCCCATGAAAACTAAATCATTGGTCCATTAAATCCTCTTTAATATATTTATGTGCCTTCCAGCTATCAAGGTTTATTCCCTTGAAATTTTTAAATTTTGTTTTTGGATGGAGCCAAAGAAGTCAAATAAATAGAGGAACAAAATATCTGATAACTGATTCTCAGTGTTGCATTGCTCTGGATTGGTTAGGCAATGGTCAGTTAAGAATTTACCTATGTGCCTACCGTGTGCAGAATTCAGAGGAGGCATATAAAATATTCAGAGGCATAGAAAAGAAGTAGAAACAATAAGTAGAAGACAGTCTTTGTTCTCTGTTGTTGAATAGATTGCAAAGTAGCTAAAACATGGGGGTGGGGTGTAATGTGACTATAAAGTAGATAGAAATTTTTATGTATGGTTTGTAAAAGTAGGTCCCGTTATTTTAATTATTAATATAAAGTTCTATATAAATGCTAGTTATCATTATGAAAGTCAATTAGAAAGTGTTAAAGTTGTGAATATAAGTTTATATCAGTTTATTATAAGGGGAAAAAAACCCCATATTTTTGAAATATGAGAAAGAGGCAACAGATAAATGTACTTAGAAAATAAGCATGTTTTGGGGGGAGATCTATTGTATACTATGGTGATGGTTAATAAAGTATTGTAAACTTTGAAAATTGCTTTAAAAAATAAATTTCTATTAGTGTATTAAAAAGCACTAATAATAAATTTGATTTTGAGATACATATAAAAATTTAGAATACATTATAGACTACATATAGAATATATAGAGAATTTATATATAGATATATAAATTTAGAATACAAATGTACAGTGTACATATATATGTAGAATGACACGCAAGTTCTCACTTGCTTCCCTTTAAAAAGAAAATGAAATTCTTAAAACAGTTTTTAAAAATATGCTCCATTTTAGCTGAATCCTGACACTTGTCATGGTTGTAGAGGACCTGCTCTGCACGCGCGTCAAGTACATTGCCGCTGTGTGATTGCATTAGCGCTAATTTCCTTCTCTGTAGAGGAGACCTCTCTCAGAGGGTGTCCTGTGTTACAGAACAAGGGGCCAAGAGCCCTTTGGTGTTCTCTTCCTGAAGAACTGTTCCGAGATTGCGTGGCTGAATTGACAGGTTGTTAGCTGAATTTAATCCAAACAGCTTAGACCTGGTTTCTCCACTGGAAGTGGGGTAGTGATTATCGAATAATCAGATTGTTAAATCGATTTTTGTCTCAATTGCTTGGATAATTTAAAGCTGTGGTTCTTAAATTTTACTGTGCATCAGAATCACCCAAGGAGCTTGTTAAAAACATAAATTCCAGGCTCTGCACTTTTAAACAAGCAGCTCCCTGCTTCTGCCCTTGTTCCCCTACTGTCTACTCTCCGCAGAGCAGCCAGAGTGAGCCCCTTAAAACCTTAGTCAGGTCCTGCCACTGCTCTGGTCAAAACTCTGCTTGCCATCTCTCTCCCTGGATAAAACAGTCTTCATCGTGATCTGAAGGGACTTTGGGGTTCTGCCCTCTCCGTCCTCAGCTCCCTCATCTCCTCATGCCTGGCCGCAGGGGCCCCTTTGCAGTTCCTTACAATCCCTGACTCAGGGTTTGTCACCTTTGTCTGGGATGCTCTCTCCTCAGATGTCTGCACCTTACACCTTACACCATCTTACACCTTCAGTTTCTTTAAATCTTTACTCAAGTTGCCTTGCTGTTTGGGGGATGGGCACACTTGCAGCTCTGACTTGGGTGGTGCAAAGGCAATATATGTAACCTAAACGTTTGTACCCCTGTCATATTCTGGGGGAAAAAAGTTGCCTTCCCAGGAGTTCTTCCTTGCTCACCAAATCTGCATTTTTAACTCCCTTTCAACATTTCATACCTGCTTCCTGCTTTGTTTTTCTCTTAAGCATTTACCATAAACATGATGTGCATTTTACTTTTCTAATGTTTAACCTTTCTCCATTCCAACTAGAAACTAAGTTCTAGCAGGAATTTTTGTCTTGCTTGTTCATTATTGTATCCCCAGTGCCTAGAACACTTACATTTCCATGAATGAATTGAATGGAGTAGTGCTGCATCTCTATAGGTGATCAGAGGAGCGTATTTTGAGAAACATTGACAAAGTATTGTCACCATTACAGTCATCAAACATTCATTGAGTTCCTCCTGTATGCAATGCACTGTGCTAAATAAAAACTGGTTATTTTTCCTGATTTAGTTTAGGGCCTGCTCCAAAATTTTATTTCATATTGGCTTTGAGAACCCAGCAACAGAATTATTTGGCTTATTGATTGAAGTCTTGCAGGCTTGTTGCTGATTGGCTAAGGACGTCCATTAAAGCATTTCCTGTGTAGTTAAAAGAGGCTGCTTTCTTGCAATGAAATATCCCGACTCTGCCCCTCTTAAAAATATCTTTATAACATTGGCAAATTAATTCAATACAGCTTTCCCAAGTGCTTGATATTGTTAAGGGAGAATTTTATATGATCAAAGTGTCTTCCTGCCGTTTTCAAATGAAGTGATTTTGATTTTGGTCCCTTGGTTTGATTTTAACCAAATCAGACATAATGCAGAGCCCAAAACAAAAGAGGCAATCCAAATGTCACTAGACTAGGAAGAGAAAATGGTTTATATTTCAGAGTGATCCTTTGAAGTGATATTTAAACACTATTGTACCCTTTGTTAAATATGCATGTTCCATTACAATGAATGGATGCCAGTGTTCTAGCTATTGAGAAAACAAGTCTGGGGCTTTATTGCATTTAAGGAACATAATAAAATGTTTACATTATCAGGCAAGTAAACATTACATTAGAGGAAAATTGGTTTCACTAGTTATGGCCTTTTTCTTTCAAAATTATCTGTTCTTAAGAGTCAGCCTCCCATTATGTTAGATTAATTTTTACAATTGAAACAGTTTTTATTACAGGCAATATGAATGGCCTAAATGGAAACATGTTTTTGTGCACATACTAACCTGAGTTTGAGCCCTGGACTTTTTTCCCCCTATAAATGACAATAGTCTAAGTTTAAAATAGCCTAGTCTTAGACTATTTTGCCAAGATTTTCTGTTGTGTATCTTTTTTCTATCGGATTTCTTTTTTTTAATGTATAAAATTTAAGGCTTCAACATTTTGAATTGATCTTGAGCAAAGCAGGTCTCTGGTAGTGATTGTGGACTTTAATTGCACAACCTCTGGGGCTCACTCTATACAGAGGACCTATTGCTAAGCAATTGATTGGGCTTTAAATTGTATCCCATAAACCTTTTTTCATTTTAAACTTTTGTGTTTGGGGTTTTGCATGTTTCAAATGCCAATGTTTAAAAGAACACCATTGCTTGTAAATTGTTTTGCATAGGACATACAGTTCCCAAGAAAAAGATGGCTGTGTGGAGGGCATCTTTCTGAGTACACACACCTCAGAATGAGGGCTCATTTCACAGATTGTGCAAGAATTACTGGCAAATAGAGGAACAATTAAGGAGATAAAGGTCTTAGTTCCCTGTTTCTCAAACTTTTCCACTGGAGAATCATTAAAGGTATACAGTTGTCCCTTGGTATCCATGGGGAATAGGTTCCAGGACAGGACCTCCCATGGATACCAAAATCTGTGGATGTTTAAGTACCTGATGTAAAATGGTGTAGTATTTGTATATAACCTATGCAATCCTCCTGCATACTGTAAATCATCTCTAGACTACTCTAATACCTAATATGATGGGAATGTATGTAAAGAGTTGTTATTCTGTATAGTTTAGGGAATAATGACAAGAAAAAAGGCCTATACATGTTCAGTACAGATACCTTTTTCCCAAAGAATTTTTGATCTATGGTTGGTTGGAGCCACAGATGAGAAACCCACAGTCATGGAGGGCCAGGTATTTAAGAAACGAACTCATATCTCCAGAATTCTAAGGGCTAGTGTGGAAAGGCCTGCTTAAGCCTTATGAGCTTTAAATTATTTGAAGTTCCCATTTTATTTTTAAAGTTTATGGAAGTTTTCAGCTTGACTGCATAATCTAATGGCTTGCTTTACTCTAATAACCTCACCCTCCCATATCTGAGTAAAATTGAGGGTCCAGGAGGACAAAGCATGTTCATCCTGTGGCTTTGAATATCCATTGAAAACACTGATACCCTGGAGCTGTGGAAGGGGAAGGGGCAAGGAGCAAAGGGTGGGCTTCTTAGAAGCAGAGTTTTTGATAAAAATTAGAAGGGCAGATTTTAGAGCTGCTTAGCACAAATAAAATAATACAGTTGTACAGGAATGATAAACAACTACAAGCCTGTATTTGGTGGTCTCTTTTGTAAAAGCAGATGGAACAAATGAAAAAGGGTAAGTAAATTAGCAGTAAGGCACAGTTGTCTAGGAGAAAAACATAAATTATATATGGAATACTAAGAAAGCAAGCAAATTTTAACATTATGTAATCATTTATTCTGTCTGTGTGCAAAATAGGACTTGGACTAGCTCAGAATGTTCTGCTATATTTCTTCTTCTTAGAAGACACCCTTTCTCCTCCACAAAGAAAACCTTTCTTTCAATTCCTATTCACTGTTGGAAAATTAGAAAATACAGAGAAACAAATAGTGTCACTCGTGACTCCACCACACAGAGACAACAGTGATGAGTATCCTTCATGGATTTTTTGTGTGTGCATCTATAGATACATGTATATAACAAAATGGGAAAAAATGGGTCTTCTGACATGCTTTTTTTCATGACAAAATGTTGATATCTTTCTTTGCCAAATAAATACCTTCACCGTCATTTTTAAAGGTTCTAATTTATT